CCTAATTCCCAAATGAGTATGGTATTGAGGCGTGAGTCCTCATGTATGAACTTGGCGGTACTTATTAATGATTATAGTACTTGTGTTGCTACATGTTGAGTATTGTAGTCGATTTATTATATTACTTGATATATACTGTTCTCTATTCTGAGTTGGCCGATGATACCTACTCAGTACCTGTGTTTGTACTGACCCCTACTTTTATATTTTCTTCTTGTTATTTGTGGAGTGCAGCAAAAGTGCCGTCGTCTTCAACTCAACAGCAACTCTAGCCAGTCTTCATTACTCCGGATATCAGGGTGAGCTAATGCTTCTAGCTTGGACTGGATCCTACATGTATGGCATAGAAGGGATTATCAGGAGTGTCTTGTTGAGAACTGGAAGAGGGATTGGGTTTGGGCTGTTCAGTAGCCGGCGAATAAAAAGCAAGAGGCTCGATTTCGCTGAGAGCATCTAGCATCTGTTTAGAGGAAGATGAAGGAGAAGATATTTTTGACACACAAGCAAAAGGCTTTTTGAAACAGAAAGAGAAAGAAGAAGAAACAAGGTTTGCCTTTTTAACTTTTGCTTAAACCCTTCGTGAAATAAGAAGAATGTTAAAGGGCAATGTGGATTTCAAAAAGAAGTAAATGGGTTTTTAAAAAGGAGTGAAAAGGTGTCGGGTCCGTGATTGGATCTGTCATTTGAGAGAGAAACGATGGGACAAACGGTCAGAGTGATCGATGACTGACACATGGCGTTATCAACAGTCATATTTTCAGTTTCATTTTAATGTATAAATGCTAACCTGGACAGGCACCAGGTACCGTAGCACAGTTAAATCTCATTCCTCAGTTGTTCTAGTTGCTTCCCTTGATGAGCAAGTCCTTACTGAGAATATACCTACAAAAGGTACAAAAAGGATCTTTGTTCAGATATTTAAATATTCACACAAAGGATACCTGCACTGCAATTTTAGCCATCAAGGGAGTTCAACTATTGGAAGCTAAGAACATCACTTAGAGATCAACATGCCCAACTTCAACCGATTTCTCTCAAATTGATCCTTGCTGAGAGCCTTGGTGAAGATGTCTTCAATTTGCTCCTCCGTTGGACAATAAGTGAGCACAATATTTCCCTTCTCAACATTATCTCTCAAAAAGTGATGTCTAACATCAATATGCTTCGTTCTCTTATGATGGACTGGATTCCTTCCCATACTAACAGCACTAGTATTGTCACACATAAGAGGAATTGCTTTGATGTGAATCCCAAAATCTTCCAAGTGTTGCTTGATCCACAGCAACTGAGAACAGCAGGCTGCAGCAGCTACATATTTAGCTTCAGCAGTTGAAAGAGCCACAGAGTTCTGCTTCTTGGTACCCCAAGAGATAAGTAGTGATCCAAGGAAATGAGCCATTGCAGAGGTACTCTTCATGTCAACTTGATACCCAGTAAAATCAGCATCTACAAAACCAACCAGATCAAAAGTATCACCTGCTGGATAGAAGAGAACCAGGTCCCCTGTTTTCTTCAGGTATCTGAGAATACGTTTGCAGCCTTCAAGTGTGAATCACGAGGACATGCTTGAAACTTGGCACACATTCCAACACTATAAACAATATCAGACCTGCTAGCAGTCAGATACAACAAGGATCCAATAATTCCTCTATACATTGTCTGATTCACAAGAGGATCATATTCCTCTACTATCATCTTGGAATTTGTTCCCATAGGAGTATCAATAGGTTTAAAGTCAAACATATTGAATTTCTCCAGTAGCTCTTTGATGTACTTCTCCTGACAAATTGAAATCCCATTTGATGATTGTTTGATTTGCAGACCCAGGAAGAATGTCAATTCACCCATCATCCTCATTTCAAACTCCTTTCCCAGTAATGATGAGAATTCTTCACACAAATGTTCTGAAGTAGCTCCAAAAATTATGTCATCCACATAAACTTGAATGATAAGCAATTCTTGTTCTCTTTTTAATAAGAACAAAGTATTGTCTATCTTGCCTCTTTTGAAACTATTCTTCAGCAGAAAACTTTGACAGCCTTTCATACCATGCTCTTGGAGCTTGCTTCAGATCATATAGTGCCTTATTCAATCTGAACACATTACCTAGTAGCTCTGCATCTTCAAAACCAGGAGGTTGCTTGACAAACACCTCCTCTTTGAGATCTCCATTTAGAAATGCACTCTTCACATCCATTTGATACAGCTTGAACCCCATGAATGCAGCAAAAGCTATTAAAATTCTAATAGCCTCCATTCTGGCAACAGGTGCAAAAGTCTCATCATAGTCTATTCCTTCTTCTTGATTGTATCATTGCACCACCAACCTGGATTTATTTCTAGTAATTACTCCATTTTCATCAAGCTTGTTTCTGAAAACCCATCTAGTTCCTATTACTGTTCTTCCTTCAGGTCGAGGAACCAGGTACCATACCTTGCTTCTTTCAAACTGGTGAAGTTCTTCTTGCATAGAATTGATCCAGTCTGCATCACCTAATGCTTCTTTCACATTCTTGGGCTCAATAGATGGTATGAATGCTGAGAATGCAACTAGATTTCTTATTTTTGATCCTGTATGAATTCCAGAATTCAAAGGAGAAATGATATTATCAAGAGGATGTGATGAACTATGCTTCCATCCTGATCTTAGAGCAGACTGATTGAGCTGATCAACATGTTCTTCTTCATCAAGAGTGACATCATTTTCTTGGGAGTCTGATGTACTCTGGCTAGAATTTTGAGTAGTACCAGGTACCATATCATCCTTTTCAACCTCAACAGCCTCTTCAGGTAGACTATGATTCTGATCATCACAGTCATTTTTCAGTTGTTGATCTGCATCAGCTTCACCTCCTTCAGTCTTCTTTGATTTGAACAGTTTCATCACATCACCATCATCATTTGATTCATCATTCTTCAAGCTTCCATCTTCATCAAATACAACATGAATGCTTTCTTCAATGCATTGAGCTCGTTTGTTGAATATTCTGTAAGTTTTGCTGGATGAAGAATATCCAACAAACACTCCTTCATCACTTCTAGGATCAAATTTTCCCAGATCATCCTTTCCATTATTCAGCATGAAACATCTGCATCCAAATGCTCTAAGATAGCTCAGCATTGGCTTTCTGTTGTTGAGCAGCTCATAGGGGGTCTTATTCAAAACAGCTCTTATTAGACACCTGTTGGTAATATGACATGCTGTGTTAACAGCTTCAGCCCAGAAATTTTGAGGAAGATTTGATTCAATAATCATAGTTCTGGCAATGTTCACCAAGGTTCTGTTTTTTCTTTCCACTACTCCATTTTGTTGCGGAGTTCTTGGAGCAGAAAAATTATGACTCGTACCATTCTCCATGCAGAATTTATCCAGTGGTGAGTTCTCAAACTCAGTACCATGATCAGATCGAATGTTGCAAATGACTTGATTCAATTTGGTTTGAATCATTTTGAAAAATACCATCAACTCTTCAGCTGTATCTGCCTTTGATCTCAAGAATCTTGTCGAAGTGTATCTCGAGTAATCATCAACAATCACCAAAATGTACTTCTTGCCATTTCTTCTTTGAACTTTCAAGGGTCCACACAAGTCCATATGAAGCAGCTCTAGTGTTCTTGATGTTACTTGCTTTTTGGGCTTAAAGGATGATCAGATTTGTTTTCCTTTAACACAAGCTTCACAAATTTTATTTTCAGCAAACTTCAGCTTGGGCAGACCTCGGACCAGGTCCTTAGATATCAGTTTGTTCAATAAAGATGAGCATACATGCCCCAGCCTACGATGCCAAAGATCAGCATTCTCATTGTGATCACTAAGACATGTTAGGTCATCTCCATGAGACGTTTCCAAGTTGGCCACATACATATTTTTACTTCTGTGTGCAGTGAGAATTACCTTGTTTGTAGTTAGACTCACCACTATGCATTTCTCAGAAGTAAAATTTGACTTCATTTCCTTTGTCATAGATTTGAGACACACTCAACAAGCTGTACTTCAACCCATCCACATGATACACATTGTCAATTGAATCTTCAAGAGATCTTCCTACTTTGCCAACACCCAAAATGTACCCCTTCTTTCCGTCACCAAAAGAGACTCCTCCTCCTTGAAGTGTCTTGAGTGAGAGGAAGTTTTTTACATCACCAGTCATATGCTTAGAGCATCCACTGTCCATATACCAGCACTGACTGCTGCTCCTCTCACTCACCTGCACCAAGAATCACTTGTTTAGCTTGGGAACTCATTTCAATTTGAGTTCCCAGAAGGCAGACAAAGGAGTGATTAGATTGTATTTAGTCTAATCGGGTAGATTTTGAAGATTTCTAACAAAGGACATGGGATTAGGGACAAATTTTTTCTTTGAAAATCTGTAAGTTGAAACATGCTTTGGAGGACCAGGTCTCTCTTTTGGTAAATTTTGCCTTTCAGCATAATTAGAGAGCCTTTCATAGGAGTTTCTCCAGCTAGCACAATCACCCTTCAAATGTCCATTCTTACCACAGTGAAGACATAGCATATTGTCAGACACAAACACATACTTACTGTGAGGATTATAAGGAGGAGTGATGTTCAAACTTCCTAGTCCTTTCTTATTGAAATTACTCTGATTTGTTGCATTTGACAGTTGTTCTAATTTGTTACTCTTTTCCATCGACAGACCAAGATTTTTCTTAGAGTTTTTCAATTTTTCTTGGATTTCAGCTTGTAAACCATTTGACATTCCATTCAGCTTTTCAGCTTCTTAGTAATCTGGTTCAACTAGTTCTTAAGTTCAGAGTTATTTGACTCTAGAGACACCATTCTTGACATTTTCTCTTCAAGTTTAAGTGTTTTTTCATTTAAACTGTCAAGTTCAGCATTCATGGTGTCTCTTTCAAATGTTAACTCTATCACAAAATCAATCATGACTTTTGCCAAAGTTCTCAACTTTTTAAGAGAATATTTATCCAAGTCATTTTTCATATCTAGAAGAGTTACCTGATTGTCCTCTTCTTCATTTTCTGTGTGAGCCATGAGAGCAAACATTTCATTGAAGACAGTTTCCTCCTCATGTACAGCCACCATAGACACATCTTTTGGTTCATCAGAGTCTTCTGAATCACTTGATGAATCACCCCATGCAGCAAGAGCCTTTTTGACAACCAAATCTTCAACAGCTTTTCGATCTCTCTTGCCGAGTACCAGGTCCCTTCTATTCTCTTTGTCACTTCTTGGTTTTTGATGTTCCTTGTTTTCATTCTTGAGCAAAGGACACTCTCTGATGAAGTGCCCAGCTTTTCCACACTTGTAGCAAGTATCACCTTGAGTAACATTTCGATTACCATTTGTTCCTCTTTTATAAACTTTGTTTTTCCTCACAATTTTTTGGAATCTGCTGATGAGATATGTCATATCATCATCATTGGAATCTTCATCTGATTTGTACTTCAGCATCAATGACTTGTCCTTCTTGTCTTCCTTCTTTGACAAATCGTAATTTCGATTCATCTCATGTGTCTTCAGATTTCCAATCAAAGCATCCATAGTCAGCACCTTCAAATCCTTGGCTTCTGTAACGACATCAACCTTGCTTTTCCAAGATTTTGGAAGAATTCAAAGCACTTTTCTGACTTGTTTGGTCATGCTTATAGGTTCACCAAGACTTCGCAGCTCATTTGTAATGGAAGAAAATTTTGTGAACATGTCATGAATTGTTTCTCCGTCCTTCATTTTGAAGTTATCATACCTTGAGGTAAGCATGCCAATCTTTGATTCCTTGACTGTTCAGTTCCTTCATGAGCAGTCTTCAAACAGTCCCAAAACTCCTTAGCAGACTTACAAGCTGACACTCTGTTGAACTCATCAGGTCCTATCCCACAGACAAGAAGAGTTTTAGCTTTGTAGTCCTTTTCAATCTTTTTCCTATCAGCTTCGTCGTATTTCTGTCTAGGCTTTGGAACAAGACTAGTTTTCTCTCCATCCTTTTCTTCCATTATCGGAATAAACGGTCCATCAAGTACAATATCCCATAACTCGCTGTCTTCAGCCATGAGATAATCGTGCATTCTAACCTTCCACCAACTGTAGAAATGTCCATTGAAACGGGGAGGTCTTGTTGACGACTGACCTTCTTCGAGGTTAAGTGGAGCAGCCATTCTAGAGCAAATATCATTTCCTTGGTGTTAACCAAATAGATAGTGCCTGCTCTAATACCACTTGATAGAATATATGCCTTCACTTAACAAGTAATGGACCAGGTCCCTTACTACACTAATGAATGAAACCAGAAAGTTAAATACAGTAAAATCAACAGGATGATTTTACGTGGAAACCTCCTTGCTTAAGGGAGTAAAACCACGACCTGTCTCACAGGATTTTCAATCTTTTTCACTAATCTTCAAAAGCAAAAGTAAAACACGATTACAACAAAAGTGAGAAAAAGTTTTTAATCTCACGTTTAAGCAATAGTCCCTATTGCTTAACAAGCCTACGTAGAAAATAATCTACCCACTAAACTATCCCACTTGGACAACCTAGACTTTTAACACTACACAACGATTCCTTTATAGATTCAGGAATAGTTTACAGTTTAAGAACAGGAGAATGTATTCCTAAACAACTACACGAAAAGCTCCAGAGATTGTTGTTGTTCTTGGAATAATTCTGTCTTTGCTTGGTAGTAGCCTTTGCAAGAGTTCTTGAAAAGTTTTTATCAAGTTGCAAAAACTGCCAAAGATGTTTAGGAAAGTACCTTTTATATGGACAAGTCACTTTCCCTAAACTCTTTGCCATTGGTTGGAGAAGTCTCAGTTTCTGACGCCATCGGGAAGTGTGCACCTACTTTCTGTACCGTCTCCAGCTGGCAGTCAACAGGCTCGTGACCATGAGAGCCTGGTACCTCTACAAGGTCCCTGGTTTTGTTTCATCTGCAACATTCAAGTAAGAAATCTGGTACCTTTACAAGGTCCCTAAATTTGTCAAATCATCAAAACTACAAATAACAGAAACATGTGAAGTCATGGGCTATAGAATTCCGAAAGACACACAATTGATGGTCAATATGTGGGCAATTGCTAGGGATCCAAAGGTTTGGGATGATCCTTCAAGCTTCAAACCCGAAAGATTTATGAACTCTAATATGGACTATAAAGGGCGATATTTTGAGTATATTCCATTTGGTTCGGGAAGAAGAATGTGTGCTGGAGAACCTTTGGCTTCGAGGTTTGTTCCTTTACTTGTTGCTTCTATGATCCATAAATTCGATTGGTTTCTGCCAAATGATATGAATCTGGATCAGATTGACATGGATGAGATCTTGGATCTCATAATATCTAAGAAAGATCCAATTCTTGTCATTCCTAAATTGAGGAAATGAAATCCAGTAATTACCTTTATAAATTGTACCAAAATAATCAATCTTCTTGCACCTATAAATATTACTCTTGTGTTGGTTCAAGAACATTTTGTATGAAACTTCAAATGTTAGTTGATGAAGCATGAGACATTTGACTATTCTTTCAGTTTCAATTTAAGTGTCTTAATTTGACTGATCACAAAAAAAAATTTTAAAAAAAATTGCTAAATATAGAAAAAAAAAATTTTGGGAATAGATAAAAAATTAAAGTAGAACAATCAAATTCAAACCGAGAAATTATAGCTTTATACACAAATTTAGGAACTATGAAACTTAATTATATATATATATATATATATATATATATATATATATATATAACGAAAATCAATAGACGGTGAAGTTAGCATATACACCTTGAGGCATAGTGTTTCCTTCGAAGAGAGCCAATATTAATGCTAATTGCATATATGCGAAATATATGTATCACATCCAAACGCACACGATAGTACAAGTAAATGGGATTTTAAATTCAGATATTGTATCCATAATGACTAGTTGAGTAACTATTTTATTAAATTAATATTAATATTGATTAATTATTTAAGTGGTAAAATCTAAATTATATTTTGAATTAATGAAACTAAAAAGAAAAAGCAATTAACTAATGAATACCTATTATAATCTTAATTCAGACACATACATGTATATATTTTATGAAATACATATTTTGACCATCGTCACTCCCTTGGTCTCTCTACTCCTTTGTGTCCAGAGATTGTCATCTCCCGAGAAAATACCATCAAATAAGCAAGATGTCGTTCTGTCAATCATGACATTGACAAACTGAAACTCTACTCCATTAGATCAGCGAGGGGCATTCTGTCATCCATGGCATTGACCAACTGAAATTTTACTCCATAAAATCAGTGACGGACATTCTATTGGTCATGGCATTGTCGAACTGAAACTGTACTCTACTACGCGAGCTAGGGGCGTTCTGCTGGCGCCCATGACGTTGACAGACTAAAACTTTACTGGACCTAATTGAGAAGGTTATTTTATTGGTCATCATTGTTGTCGTAAGAATCTTGTGATGAACTTGGGAGGAGAAGAATTAGAAGAGGCAGTTAGCTGATTTTGAAGTGATAGACTAAATTAACCAACCAACTAAACTCTTAAACTCAATGATGGATCTTTGTCCTTGTATACTTTGTATTTTGAACTGAAACCTTAAACTCAATCAAACTCACCAAACAAAATAAAGAAAGAAAAAAAAAGAGAGAAAATGATGTAGGAAGAAAAAGAATATTTCAATAGTGTAAAATACATTTCTCAATTTAAATCTATAGATTTGAAGAAAAATATGTATTGTGTTTTAATAAATCAACGACAAAGAAAGTATTAAGAATATCTTCTTTTAGTAAATTGCCAATTTGTGTAAGAAAGAATCAGAATTACTGATTTCAATAAATTTTGCAGAATTATGAAGTAATCAAAATTTATTGAACCAATAAGAAAGATGAACAGAAATTAATTAAGAAAAACTAAACTCTGTAACATATCAGAATATGGAAAAATTTGAAAGGAAAAAGATCCAGTCCACTGAACTCACAATGTCCCCTTAAGGAAATTATTTCTCTTTAGTATCCGAGGTTTGATTTGGTATATTTCCTCCCAAGATAAAATGATCTCAATCACCAGCGTATAAATACTGAAAACTCTGGTCTCAGCGAAACACTCAACAGCAGTAAAGTACACGAAGTAACTTTTGTGCAGAAGAAGAAGAAGAGATCAGAAAAATTCGTTAGGAAAAATTCTGAAGAGTGAATGGTATTTATAGGCAAAAGGAACATGTTCTGAAAGGTTGCAACTCTTTCAAGATCCACGACCATTAATGAAAGTCTGCAACCTTTCAAATGGTAATGACTGTTCGTGAAAGTTGCAACCTTTCAGAACAACCATTTCCAAACGGCGGAAAATTTAAATAAAATGGAAAAGTTTTTAAATCAAACGCGTCGGGCGCAGATCTAAGTCGGGTCGGGTTAATCAACCAAAAAGTTCAAATGTTTGGGTTAATTTCAACTAAATAATTAAAAAGCCAAAAAAGTTACAACCTTTTAGAACAGTCATTTCCAAACGACGTAAAATTTAAATAAAACGGAAAAGTTTTTAAATCAAATGAGTCGCAAGCGGATCCAAGTCAGGTCGGGTTAATCAACTAAAAAGTTCAAACGTTTCGGTTAATTTTAACTAAATAACTGAAAAGCTAAAGCCGAGTGAGCGATGAGGACGGCACGAGGGGGTCTCTCTTTCCAACCCTTTTAATAATTAATAGGAGTGTTTCATATTTAAATTCTCCTATTTTTCTTTCCACCACCGATGAGGGGCAAATGCCTTTTCATTAAAGCATAAGATGACAAGTTCCCAACTCTTTAAGTTCTCAACTTTTCATGTTTTAAAGTTGTAGTTGTAGTTGAAGCCGAGCCGAGCGAGCGACGACGACGACGCGAGAGGGTCCCTCTTTCCAACCCTTTTAACAATTAATAGGAGTGTTTCTATATTTAAACTCTCCTATCTTTCTTCCTACCACTGATGAGGGACACATGCTTTTTCATTAAAGCATAAAAGGACTTTTCAAGTTACCAACTCTTCAAGTTCTCCACTTTTCAAGTTTCTCTCTTTCCCTCTACTTTCAATCAATTCTTGATACATACCCAACAATCCCCCACATTGATTGGGAATGGTATAACATAGGAATGCATGGACAAGTGTGTACTTTACAGGCAAGGATTGATTGCATCTGGATAAGTAGTTCCTCTTGGACTTTCCGTAGTGAAAATATGTCGGATATACTCAGTCAATCGATAAATGCAATATCTTTGAATCGTCGAGCTTTGGTGTATACCTAGACAATCATATGTCACATAATTAACCCTTTACTGTTTATGGTTCTTACGATGTTGTTGGTTTCAACCATGAACACCACCTGGTTTCATAAGTGTATAGAGAATAGACTTTTGACAAAAAATTATCTTTGAACTAGCTTACACTTCACACTAACATAGGTGATTTCTAACCGTGTCATCTCGTAGATACACTATTTGGTCAAATCTTCCAAACTTTAGCAAATCATTAAAAACTTTAAGCTTTATTAATTCATTAACAAGATTTAAAGTCTTAGCCTTGTTCCTGAACATTGTCTTCATCATGAGAATGGATTGAGTTAATTGACAATGTCAAACTGTCAGCCACAATTTTGTTTTCTCATTAAATCTAGCTCTTGAGATCTCTAGTCTGCTAGATAGAGTTACCGTCATGCTGACTTGTCCTAAGCCGTAAACTCATTCACTTAGATGATCTTTCAACTTTCTCTCTCACTAGGCCTTTCGTTAGTAGATCTGACACATATTGCTTGACTTTACATAGTCAATTGTGATAATTCCACTAGAGAGCAGTTGTCTTACGGTGTTACGTCTCCGTCGTATATGACGAGACTTCTCGTTGTACATGACGCTCCTTGCCCTACTTATTGCTGTTTGACTATAGCAATATATGCAAATAGGTCCAATAGGTTTGGGCCAGAATTGGAATATCCTCTAAGAAATTTTGGAGTCATTCAGCTTCTTCATAAGCCTTATCCAAAGCAATGAATTCAGATTCCATGTGGAACGAGCAATACATATTTGTTTGGACGACTTCCAAGAGGCTCCTCCTCCACCAAGTATGAATACATAATCACATGTGATTTTACTTCATTTGACCCAGTGATCCAATTTGCATCACTATGTCCTTCAATCA